GCATTGTAAAAATAGTAATACTATTAACTTTGGCACGAGATGTAACTCCTATGCCGCATAATGCTTGTAGACGTCCTGTGCATTCCTTTAGATCAAAATCTTTAAGGGCACACATTATGTTTCGAAAATATTAACAGAAACTCAAGCAGATTGTTCTATTGTAACTATATATACACTCCTGGATGGCAAAAGATTTGGAGAAAAACATGTATGTTTGATCAAAAAACACAGCAAAAGTTCAATAATGTGTGGATCTGGACACAAGGTAGTCACACAAACAATTATAGGGAGGTAGGAAAGTGGGCAAATGTTACATCAATACATAAACAAAATCCAAATCAAGAGTCAAAAAGATGAGCATAAATCCACATCAGTGGAGAGAACATTTTCATGGCAGGAAGGACCACGCAGTGGAGAGAGAGAGAGATTAAAGGTCGATTGTCTTTATACTTAGTTAATTAAGGATGGCCCTCTTCCCCCAACATATTCCTCCATATGTTCTTGGCATCTTTGTTTGGAAACCAAACGTGGGTACAGAAAAAGCTGTACACAAGCAAACAGCAGTGCAGGCACATATTGGCAAAACTATACTATATGCGTAGAGTGTGGGGTTGTCTGTGTGTGTTTGTGGAGAGTGGGGGGGGGGGGTACCAATGATAGTTCTTGAAGCTTTTACTTGTCATTGCATAATTATAATTCATTTTTGGGATATGGTGATAACATAACTTTAATTTTAGTTTAACATGGTACATGAAATTAAAGTTAACACAACTTTTTGAACAAGGAAAGCTCATTATCACTGTGCCTATCAGCCCCTATTGTCTCAAGCTGTACCACTCATTACACTAGGGTTTCATGCTGGTGTGCCAATATATATTTTGGAGAGAGAGCGAGAGTTTTGGAGCACATACTTGCTGTACTTAATATGAGGGTGAAAGGGACTACTATGTATAGTGAAAGAGCTTCCATTTTAAAACAGGAAAACGGAGAAAGAACAAAGAAACATATTGGGTTATTATAGTTAATTTGAATTAATTCCTGATGAGATCTCTTCTACAGTAACTTGGGGTACTCTAGACTTCAAACTATGCGTAACTAAACACAGACATAATGGGTCAACTTCTTAAGAAAACTTTCGAACAACAATAAAGTTGTTTTATTGTGATTTGAATGTAAAAGATTGAGGGTAGACAACTATTTCACAAGCGGAAGTAAAATGACAAAGGAACAAAAAACAATCTAGGCCTTGTCTTTCCATCGCAAATTGCCAATGTGTACGTAGTTTCACATGTGTACTGGAAGCGTGATCGAGAATAACCTTTCTGGTGTGCTTTACAGTACAAATATGCTGTAAGTTAATCCTCATTAAATTTAGGGTAATTTACTGCCTTTGTTATGCAGTTTTATGAGACAGTTCCGACAAGTACAGTTGGATCAAGTTTGATCTTTTGCAGAGGCTATTAGACAAGTTGTGATGATATGCTCTTTTTGACCATGTGGCAGGCAGATTCTGATGGTTAGGTCTAAAAATATCGTGAGGCATTTGGAACTAATTGCCTACAAATCTTGTTTGTTTTTTAAACAACATGACATATAAAGATTAAAGAGTACTACTACTACTACATGCCAGAAGAGAGAGAGTTGTTTGATTATTCCAAGTGAGAGAAAATTTGAAGTTATTAATATATTCATAATGCACTGACTACTGAAACTTATGAAGAGATCAAGGTTGGACTCAGCTGGCTTAATCACCTCATGATTAACTTGATTCTAGTAAGGCCCAATTCCCACCGAGGTCACAAAATGCATAGCTTGTACACTTTTTTTTTTTTTTTTTGTTCAACGGTTAAAGTATATTCAAACAAATTTATGCACACTTTAAATATTCTTCTCCCCGGTCCGATCAAAAATGTGAGATCCACACCAGGACTAGAGTATTCATGAAGGATAAATCTTTCGTAGTCTAATTTCAAGAAATTATCAAGATTCGAACTTATGACGTCTAGATTTTAACTCAATTTTGTTATCATTTGAACTATCCTTAAGATTGCTTTTACTTTGTTTGGAGGCCACTGCTAAGACGATACTCAAAAAACACCCAATAAAATTTATGTCATTGAGGTTTTTCTATTGTCAAAAACCCTTCAGTAAGGGACTAAAGTATCGAAGGAGTGATCTAAAACCCTCATTGATTCAGTTATTAAAAAAAAAAACCCCTAATAAATATTGTCATAAATTTTAAATTCCTTAAAATAGTACTCAATTTCGATCTCTTGCCACGATAGTTTATCGTATAATAATTAGCAACATTTTTTTCTCTCATCCTCTGAAAGCTTCGCAACGGTTGAAGTCTCCTATATTGAATTAATTTTTTTAGGAAATTTTAGGTTGCTTGCAGTCTAGTTGATAGAAACATGTCATAATTGATTTCCTAGGTTGGTACTGTAAACTAGAAAAAAGTATAGGGTTTAATTAAAATATATTTCTCAGCATGTCACACAGTCACCACAAGTTGACTGGCATCAGTAAATTATAAAATTTCAGTCATATAAACTTATACTCAATTAAAACCAGAGAGAGAGAGAGAGAGAGTGGGTAGGACAAGCATACAAAGACAAAGGAAGAGACAAAGAAGAATGCAGAGGTTAGTGGAGACTTCTGATCACGAGTGAGTGGGAGCTCCGGTCCAACCGGTCGGAGGGCCACCTCCACCACCATGACCCATGGGGTTACGATGTAATGGTGCACTGTGGTGGGCCCTAATGTCTTGGCCTTTACAGACACATTCTAGAGCAACCTCTGGGGTGGGGATGGGGGAGGAAAGTTGAGCAACCCACCCACGCCTTACTCTCCAACCTTCCCATGCTATTTGGCTGGTTGGCCAGGGTTCACATGTCACACCCAAAGGACATCGGGATCGCATCCTACGACACGGGTGGCACGATCTATATGGGGTACCTAAGCTCCAACGGTTACAGTTGCAAAATAATTTCTCTGCGTACAATGTAATTACATTTACAGACATCTAACCCTCTATTCTAAACACAATGGCATGAGACTTCTGCGTTGGGCCACTCTTGTTTTTGGTGATATTTATTCTCAACCATTAGTAACTATTGTTTTGGATTCCGTTACCTTTGAAATTTTTTTTAAACAAATTTAGTCATACTTCTTCTAATTTATCGTATCTTTAAAGATATTCCTTCTACACTCATTGTTTTGTACATTAAAGAAAGTATCGTATTGTACAATCATTTTTGTGCACGTATCAAATTGACACAAAGATTCAGATAGTGGTGGTCATGTTCTCACCGATAAGGAAACTAACTAAATAAGAATGCATAGGAAAACAACAATATCCCTAAATATTCCAACAATTGATGGATTGATATGTGAGTAGCACCCCCATTTTGAAGCAAGATTGGCTCCATAATGGGTCATTGTACCAAATCGTCACCCACTTGCTAACCATGCCTAACTTGTATGTACTCTTTGTCATTGATTTGTATTTTCTTCAAAGTTTTGACTTTTATTTGTGGGCTTCTCTTAATGGATGATTGGTGTTTTTCAACTTTTATTGGGTTCCCTTTTGGATGTTTTAGCTTNTTGGTGTTTTTCAACTTTTATTGCGTTCCCTTTTGGATGTTTTAGCTTGTTTAGTGGGCATGAAAAGGGTGAGTGGTGGAACCAACAGTCCCTTGGTCCCCCCCGTAGGACAATGAAATTCAAGTGACCTTTCTCTTTTGGTCCCATTGCTTGATGATCAATCCTTAATCAACAATGGCACTACTATTTTCTATTTAGAAAACTATCATCATGGTTGGACCGGAATGAATCAATTTCATTCAACAATTACTTTCTTTCCTTTTGTAAATGAGGTTTATGTCAAATTTACTGAACATCTCCAATCATAGAAATCAGTTAAATTTGAGAGACTACAATTAATGGTAATTATATGTCAAATTGACTGATCCTTTTGACAATATTGCCTACCGTAGTCCTCGTGTTGCGTGTGTTAACGCATTTAACCCAAAAAAAAAAAAGCGGAAAAAAAAAAATGTTTCTCAAAACTTTCCACAAGGGTGAAAATGGGAAGGACAATCATTACCAAGGACATGAACATCTCCTCTAGTCAAAAAAATCAGATAATCAAAATGGTGCATAGATCAATACATAAGGTACATGCACCAAAAATATACATGCATGTGCATGGGAAGACATGCCACATGCCAAGTAGCCTGTAATTAGGTTTTGGCTCCTCCCAAAAAAAAGAAAAAACCAAAATAATATTTTATATTTAGAGCGTCATGTATTATGTCTAAATTCTTTATAATACTTTATTTCTCTTTCATTATTTTCTTTTATTCACTCTCTTCCTCTCTTTTACTATTGAAAAAATAATAATATAAAAAATAAAAAATAATATTTAAAAAAATAGTTAAAAATACAAAAAATTTATTAGTGTGTATTGAAATTTAAAATAAAAAATATTATTTTTTAAATAGTTAAACTAATTTTTATTGTTGGGTTTGTTCTTACCGACCAAAAGACATTAACATTGTACTTTATAATTATTTTATTAACAGTTCATAATATGTTCGAGTTTAAATTGTACCTTGTCAATATTTATTTGGTTTTTATATTCTCTAATACACTATACGAGGTTTATGTCCTATATAATCGTGTATGTCTTATTAACGTTACTATGATCCAATAAATATTGAATAAAAAAAAACAGAGAATTATATGCTAATTAATACAAACATTAATAATGCATGCTAATACAAAACAACTGCTCCTTTTTCTGTCATTCCCACCATACACGGCACTGTCTCTCTCTCTCTCTCTCTCTCTCTACCCCCTCTTTGCTAGTCCTTCTGTTCAAACCTCGACTTCTATACACTGCATTCACAGGAACTACACGCCTATATATACACACACATTCTCGCCTTTCTCCTTTTCTCTCTATATGTATCAAGTACATCTCTCTCTCTCTCTCTCTCTCTCTAAAACACACTCACTATTCTCCTTTCTCTCTCTCTATATATATCGCCTCATTCATCTGTAATTAAATCTCTCTCTCTCTCTCTCTCTCTCTCTCTCTCTCTCTCTATATATATATATATATCTGAGGAAGGAAACATGGGCTTCCCAGTTGGCTACACAGACTTCTTCCTCCCAAAACTGCTCGTCTACACACTCACCTTTCTGGGTTTCATCAGAAAACTCCTTTCCAACCTCTTTGCTACTTTTGGTCTCGGCGATTTCCTGGAACCCGAAGTTTCGTTCCAGACCGGACCCGAATGTTTATCGGAACTCCACTCTGTCTCTGCAGTTCTGATCCGGGAACTCTTACCCGTCGTCAAGTTCTCCGACCTAATCGAACCGCCGGAGAGCTGTGCGGTGTGCTTGTACGAATTCGATTCCGGTGATGAGATCCGACTGCTGACGAATTGCCGGCATATATTTCACCGGAGCTGCGTGGACCGTTGGATGGACCACGATCAGAAGACGTGTCCACTTTGTAGGACGCCGTTTATCCCCAAAGATATGCAACAGGCTTTCAACGAGAGGCTTTGGGCTGCTTTTGGGATCTCTGATTTCTACGGCGAGTACCCACCCATTACTGGTCTATAGTACATTTCTTTTTCCTGTCTTTTTTTTTTCTTTTTTTTATTTTCTAAGTGGTAAATGGGCTTAGTTTTTTTTATAAAAAATAATAATTTAGGAGGTGGGTAGTTTTTTTTTCTTTGAACTGGGTGGGGTGGGGGGGGGTGATATGTATAATGTAAATACTCCAAAAATTGGGAAAAAAAAAAAAATGAAAGAGAAATAGAGTGAAAAGAACCCACATTTTTGTAGTAGTGTTTTTTTTTCTTTGGGTATGTTGTTGAATTTTAATATTTGGGTGTGCAGTGAGTTAATATAACTTTTTCATGAGTGGGCAGGTTCATGCCAATTATTTTGTCAATCAATTTCATTATTTTCTCTTT